CCCACCCGCCCCAGCCTCCCAGTCTTCTCTGGTGAGATGGGCCCTTTCCTTAGGTCCCTCCTCCTGCTCTCAAAGGTTCTTCACCCATTCTTATCGCCTTGGGTCGTTATGGGTATGTGCGTGGGTGCAAAGTCCCCCGTCTGACTGACCATTCCTTCAGTGAGAGGTGGGGGGCCCTGAGAATGGGAGCTTAGCAAGGGAGGGAGCAGAGGCCATGTCTGTCACTGTATGAGCTGCCAGGGCTGGGGACACCTCTCCTCCCCCCAGACTCCAGCTCCCTAAGGACAGGGCAGCCTCTCTCCCATTGGACCTGGATTTGATTCTTCCTCTAGATCAATCTCCCAACCCTTTGCTTGGCCATCCCTCGTGTTGGCCCACAAGGCACTGACTGTTGGCACCTGGGAAACAGGTCAGCTTGAGGGCAGGTGCCTGTTCAGCCTCCTGTTTGCAGCACGGGGATCCTCATGCACCCATGCCCACCAGAACCTCAGACGTGGGTGTGTCAGGGAGCTTCGTGGAGCAGTGACCTCTCCTCCAGGGAGCCTTCTTGGGACAGGCTGGAAAGCAGGCCTCTCCTTCTCTTTGGTCTACCCTGGCTTAAGTCCAGTCACTGTCTACAAGTGTGACCAAGGCTGGGATATGCCCTGGGGCAGCCCTGTCCCTCAGGTCACAAGTCCATGACAGGGTCCCTCGTGCCCATCTTGTGCAAAAAGAGCCCCATTGTCCGGGGGGCATAGCTGAGGGGTGAGTTCAGAGCCCAGAGATGTCGACCACTGGGCTGGTCACCAGCTTTCTGACCGCAAAAGTAGCGAGTTGGGGAGGAAATCGCTGGGCTGCTTGTTGGAGAAAGGGCCTGACGCACACAACTGCACACCCAGAACCATAAGCCCAGACACTGCCACCCTCATACAGGGTCGTGCCCTCCCAACACTCCCCCCCAACACACACACACACACACACACACACACACACACCTCTGCCCTCAGGACAACCCAGCAGAATTGATGACAGCCCCTCCTTTCCTCCTC